TTCGCAGCCACTGGGCGCTGGGGCGGCGACAAGAAAGACCAGGACGAGTCCGAGGCGGTGGGCCAGCTTCACAAGATTCAGAAGCAGGGGCATGTCCAGGTGGGGGCGCCTCAGTGCGTGGCTGCGAACGAGACGGTGGAGGAGTCCGCGTGGTCGGAGGCTCCGTTCATTTAAAATGCCCAAAGCCGACCTTATATAAATTGTTAACCTTTACTATTTTTCATTTTTGTCACGGTTCCAAAATTAGCCTTTACTGCTAATCCTGGCTAAGTAAAGGTGGGTCTGGAGTCGTCGCCGGACCAGCCAATGCCAGAGCCAGTTCAGCCACTGGTGCCAGAGCCAGTTCAGCCACTGGTGCCAGAGCCAGTTCAGCCACCAAACCAGCTGGACCAGCAGCCTGTCGTCAACCCGAAGCCCCCAGCCTGTTTCGACCTGGAGGTGGAGGTTTCCAAATTGAGCCGGCTGGTGTGGAATGCGGTGAGCCACTCCAACCTGGTGGTCGGCGGGGTAGTCGAGTATGACAAGCTCGTGCACATTAGCGGCCTGGGCGCGGTCATGAACTGCCAGGAGATCAGGATCTTCAGAGATTTAAGTTATATGTCCGGCTGATTTCTTATTCTGTGGCGAGTTGTTTGAGTTGCGCTCGCAACCTGAAATGTAACATGTGCTAGCTTGCAATTAGTTATCAGGTAGTTTTCATTTATGTTGATGATGATGCTTGCCCAAATTATTCATTTTAAGGAGAGCCACAAAGAACCGCGACAGTGCGCCTAGCTGCTTCACTGGGTTGATCCACCTGGCGAACCCAAACTTCCTGATGCTGAATGGCGTCTTCAAGCGGAGGCGGAGCCTTACTTGCTTATTTCTGTGTACAGCTTTTATTTATTTATTTATTTATTTATTGTGAGTTTTGTTCAATTACAGTTTGTGTCAGTTGGGGTTTGATTCTGATTCATTGTGCTGCTGCAGGTTTGAGGACTTGATGGAGGAGATCAGTCCCTGCATGGCAAAAGAAACCCAAAAGATTGTGTATGTGCACTGCAATGGAGGGGTTCACCGTGGACCGGCGCCCAAGCGTACGGTTAGTCCATTGGTAGTGTGTTGCTTGTAGTGTTGTTCGTCTTAGTTCTTTTACACATTCACTTTACAGGTTTTAAGTCATGAGGAGTAGCAAGTTAATTCCCCATGATTCTGATTCTGACTCATTAAACTGCCGCAGGCAATGGCAGCTGCCATCATGATCTACTTCCACCGCCTGAGCCTTTTGAACGCGAAGAGGCACTTCAACGTGGTGGATGCCTTCGACGAGTTCCTGTCGGCGGTGGATGCAGCTTATTTCTGTTTAGCCTGAGGTGTGTCTTGATTAAATCAATTAGTCCTAACCTTGTATTTCTAAATAAGGCTAGCTCCAGGCTAGTCTCCAATCATTCATTCTAGTTTGGTCTTGACAATGATGCAAGCAAGCCCCTGCCAATGATCGAGAAGCCCGAGTCCATCCAGCCGGAGCCCATCCTTTGCGATTGAGAGTGGGGCTGTGACCTGACAGTAGCCTGCATGTCCCATGACTGATTCCATCGCTGTTTTAGTGAATCATTAGGTCTCAGAGGGTCCCATCAAGAGCGATGAGATTAACTCAGTCTGAAATCGTCCTGGGGCATCTTGAAAGCGCACAGCCGCTGTAGGGATCTCGGCCTGTCAGGTCGACCCTTCCAGAGGTTACTAAGTCGGTAATCGCCTTCGGGCCTTCTGAATTGAATGTGCTGTTGGCCTTGCCGATGAGCGCCCCCTTGCCTATGTTAACAATTGAAACGCAAGTTCGGGTTTGGCAAATCACGACAAGGTGCGCGACAGCATGCGGCTGATTTGATTTGAGGTGGGCCTTTGTCTGACCCTTCTAGGACGAGGTCACTGATGTGGCTTTCTTTGTCTGCGTTGAGACATGCCCGATGAAATGAGTCCCCGCCCAAAATTCCCCGCACATCATGACATTTGAAACGAAGGACGAGAAAACGAGAACCGGGCATGAATCATCGAAGCAAGTCTCTAGACAATTAGAGCAGGTCGGCCAGTGTGAAAAGTTTGGAGCCTTCGAGTCGCTTCCTTGTCCGGCTATGAGTGCCAAGCTTCATTGACATGTGCTGTGACATTAATTGTCCCTCCATGCCCAGGCCGGACCGCGAGCGCAGTGCGAGCCCCAGCTGTGCTAGCCAATTGTCAGAGCTAGCAAGGCTCATTTGCAAAGCCCAACTCATTGAGTGTTTTCCTGGCGCTCCATGACATAGATCTTTATGGCCTGGTCAAGACAAGTTGCGAACCGGATTTACTATTCAGCTGTTAATTAGAAAGATATGTTGGGTTAGCAATATATCGCTGAACCAATGAGTGTTGAGTTGAATGCTGCTGATTCTGATGCAAGTGTTCAAACTCTTTGCTTGAATGTGGCAAGGGCTAGTCCTGATGGGAATGGTTGAGGTCAGGGTCATAAACTTGCCCTGCATTGACACTGAGATTGACGGGTAAATGTTGCGACGCAGCTGCTTGCTCGATTTACACAGTGCTTTGCCCAGGTGCTGGGCACCCACTGGGGGCACCCCGTGCCAAGGAGGCGTGCGCCGCTTGGTTGTTGTCGTTCGCGCTCGTTTTTCTTCTGGGTGAGGAGTGACTGTGTGCCACTGCGCGTAGGTGTTTTTTATATTTTTTTATTCTTTTTTTCTGTCTGTTTTTTTTTCAGACTGTTCCATTGGAAATTGGCTGCTGGGGGTTGCAACGGCTGGAGAGTAAGAGGGCGTCATTGTGTTTGCGCTTCCGTGGCAGAGCCGCAATTGGGCCTTTCAGATTTGGCAGTGAATGTGTGTCATCGATGGCGTCCGTTTTTTCGAAAGAGTGAGTGTGCCAGCTTGTGTTTCTTGAGTGCCAGTGTCCTGTTGTCTACCCCAGACTGTTCCATAAGAAATTGCCAGCGTTGGAGATTGCCTCAAAGGCTGGATAGAAGGCTTCAGACGAGACGCAATTGGGCCTCTCAGACCGCAAACGTTCCTTTCTTTTTTCGAGAAGGATTGATGAGTGTGGTAGGCGGCTAGCTGTGTTTCTTGAGCGCCAGTGTCCTTCATTCAGACTGTTCCATAGTGAATAGGAAATTCGCAGTTGGGGATTGCCCCAAAGGCTGGATACAGTAGTAAGAGGGCTTCATTTTGTTTTCTCTCACGTGCTGGGCGGCCTTTCAGATTTGGCAGTGATTGTTTGTCATCGATAGCGTTCCGCTTTTCGAAGGAGCAGTGTAGGCTTGTGTTTCTTGAGCGCCAGTGTCCTTCTGTCTATCCCAGACTGTTCCATAGGAAATTGACAGCGTTGGAGATTGCCCCATTAAAGGCTGGATAGAGGGCTTCAGATGAGCCGCAATTGGGCCTCTCAGACAGTGATTGTTTGTCAGTGATTGTTTGTCATCGTTGGCGTTCCGTTTGTGTTTCGAGAAGGAATAGGCTAGCTGTGTTTCTTGAACGCCAGTGTCCTTCTGTCTACTTCAGACTGTTCCATAGGAAATTGACAGTGGATAGAGGGACGAGGGCTTCATTTTGTTTGCAGTGACAAGGCATGAGCTGTAATTTGGCCATTCAGACAGACTTGAAGTTGGCAGTGATTGTTTGTCATCGTGGCGTTCCGTTGTTTCTTCTTTTTCTCTTTTCCCTGTTTTTTTCTCGGAGCATTAAGTTGAGTGTGTAGGCGTTTATCTTCAGCGGCATTGTCATTCTGTTTTCCCCAGATTGCTTCATAGGAACTTGACAGTGTTGAAGTTTGCCCAGAGTGCTTTGTTTTCCACCCAAGCCTGCCAAAATTGCATTTTCCCACCTATCCTGGCTGTTTAAGTGGTCAAACTGAAAGTGTGCCACCCAGCCCCTTTTGTTTGATGACGGTTGCAACACCAACTGTGTATGATTTTGAGTTCCCGGGATGTTCCCGGCGCCCAAACTCAATTTGCATGCAGCTGTCCATCTGGCGCCAGCCATCGAAGCCATTTTGGCAACTTTGGCAGGATGACACACCAGCTAGTTCCTCTGACAGGCAATGATCCGCGCCTGGACCAGCATCTAAAGGCATGTACCCTTAATAAAAGCTGCTGCCCTGGATGCCGTTTGGCGAGTCACTACAAGGTGTGGGTGCGTCACTTGACCTCGCAGATCCCATGGCTTGGCTTTTGCGATCGGCCCAATGATGAAGGAATGGGCGTGGGCTGTTTGCTTTGCTCAGCTGCTGGCTGCCCAACAGCATTCGGCAGGTTTGAGGTGGCGAGCGCAAGTTTGAAAATTTCTGCCTTGCAAAAACACGAGCAGTCTGATCCTCATGTGCGAGCTTGGCGCATTGCTGCAGAACAGACGGGCCTCCCTGCCCCAGCAATTCCAGAGAAGGTGAACGCCCCGAGCACTGAGGTGTTTCAGGCTGCCTTGCAAAGAAGGCTGGAAGGTTTGGCCTGCGAGGCTGGGTTGCCTGCTTTCAACATCGGCCCGGAGAAGCTTCAGAAGCTCACCTACTGTTTGGCTGAGGCTAAGCGCATGATGCTGCGAGTTTGGCTGAAGGACAATGCCGTTACAATCGCTTTGCAGCAGGATGAGAGACATCAGCGCTTATTGCTCAGATTTACAGCGGCTTCCGGCTCGTTGGAGCGAAGGTCAGGCGTGATTGGTCTTGCAAAGAATTTTGGCAGTGGAGCGGGCGGGATCCGGAATGCGACGGAGTCAATTGTGCGAAACTTCTGCTCGCCTGGAAGCATGACTCCGCCAGGCCAATCAGCTTGCGATGCAGTCTTGAATCAGGAGCTTTTTGACTGTGTTCGGGCGAAGATCGAAATCTTCGTGGCAGACGCGGCTGGAGACGAGCAAAAAGCCGGTGATCTCATGCGGAGCTCGATGTTTCCGAGCATTCGTTTGGGTCTCCGCGATGCTGCTCACGCGACTCGGCGAGTGATCAAGCGACCGTTTGAAGCTGACCCGACTCTGCGGGACATCATGCAGTCATTGTTTTTTGGCAAACACAGCATTGTGGCAGCCTTGGAGCACAGCCATCTCTTGAAGAATCGCTTCGAGCACCACGTGAAAACCACCACCTCCGTCGTGCAATCCAGTGTCCGATCACTGTCACTTGCCAAGCAGCGGTTTGACTCAACTCAGACCCCGCTCGGGCGCTTCGTCCTTTTTTTCGAACCTTTTCTTGCGACAGTCATCGAGATAAGCAGGGAAAGGCGAGGGGAGGACATCAACGGTGACAGGGCCGCGTTCCTTGCCTATATCAACGAAGAAGTGTTGGTGCAAGTTGCAATGATTGCTGATGCTGGAGATGAAGGTGGCCAACTGTGTCGCGCATTCGACACTGAGCTCCCGGCTTCTGAGGAACTGTCATCCACGGTTAGCATTTTTTTGCAAAAAATCAGCTGCTTGTTCAACGAGTTTGAGCCGGTGTGCCTGGAAACTGGGTACACCAAGTTGATGCTGCTGCTGCTAGAGAAGCGCCAGTTCATTATCCCGACTCTGGACGGCAAGTCAGTCCGCACTATCGGCGGGCCTGGCAGCATCACTGTTGAAATGCTGAGTAGCTGCTTGCGCCGGATGCGAACCTGGGCAGTGCTTGCAAATGAGGTCATCAAGCACGAGCTCCCTGACTGGGATTTGGTAAGCAGCTTTGCCATTTTTGATTGCAAGCGCGCTGACGGCTTGACCACAGCCAGCTCCACCCGGGACACACACATTCGGAGGTTGGCCGCGTTTTTCAACCTGGACGAGTCTTTACTTCGCTCTCAGTATTTTGACCTGTCACCGATTGCAAAAGTGCGTTGCAAGAACTTGGACTGCAGCAGCCAAGTAGCCTGGCAATCGGTCATCGCGGAAGTTATGTCATCTCAGAGGCGACGTGACCGACATCCTTGCGATGTATTGCAGTGCGTTCTTGCACGATGGTGTGGGTGGAGCCCTTCAACCAGCGCAGTTGAACAAAGCTTTGGCCATGGCACGCATTTTGCGACGGCGCGTCAGGGGTGCGCCTCGGAGGCCAGCGAGAACAACGACTTTACGCTGCTCCTGGACCATCACTCACAGGACGAGCAGATTCTAATAAGGCTTTCCCAGCAGATTTGGCATCAGCAATTTGGACTTCCACGGCATCACGATAGACGTCGTCTTGATTTGGGCGTGAAGCGCCAACTTCAGTCCAACACTGTTTCAGAGGCTTCATGGCTTCGTAGCCGGCGAAGTGCTGTCGCTGCAGCGGTGGCGAAGAGGCAACGTGTCGTAGCCACTGCTGGTACTACTGTTACAGACGACGATGACTCTGTATTGGACCATCCGAGTCATTTGAAGGAAAAGGCGTTCCAGAATCAGAGCGCGCTCCGAAGGAAGGTCGTGGCACTCAGAGATGGTCACTTGCTGCCAGAAGAAGCCGATGATGAGTTGGAGTCCTTTCTCCAGTTGCTGGCGGATAAGAAGTCAGAACTTTTGAGGCGGCCTGCAATCACAGCAAAGGAGAGAAAGAAGGACTTAATTTACAGTGGATTTCAGCAGCCTGGCTTCATTCAGGGAACTGGTGAAGTCTTGAAAACCTGTGTATCCCCTGGTGTGCCGCATGGCCCTGCGAGAGCTTTGGGCAAACTTGCGTTGCAACATGATCCTTGCGAGGCCCGGGTGATTGTAGCTCACGACATGCATTCTTTACCAGAGAAGTTCCACTGGTGCGCAGTTCTTCGCGGCAGCTTCATCGTGGACACAGCCATGCTCAGTGGGCAGAAGGGCTTGTGTGTGAAGATGAAGGGGATCGCGCACTTGAAGCGCTTTGTGTGGGCAAGCATGGAGTTCAAGCAGGACCGGATCTTGCTTGAGTTTTTGAGGCATGAATCAATTATTATTCCTGTGGATCAGTTTGACTCTTGCTGTGTCGGTTCCGACTTCAATGAGTGACAATAATAATTATGTCTATGCAATTTAATTGTCCGGGTCCGGAAAATCACAGCTAGACAAGCAAGAGCTAACAGTGACAGGTTCACCTGAAAGACAAGTTTTCCACAATTTGTTTCTTGACTCCTGTTGACGACAGTGGTGGAAAGAGTTGTGTTTGCCAGGGGAATTCGGAGTTCTATGCCATCATGTGCCGGCTGGTGGATGACTGCATGGGCAAACGCCCTATGTGGCAGTGGCTGGACACAGTTGATGAGTTCCTGACGGGTAAGGGAGTGGGTTACATTGCGCTTGTGACACACGAGCAGCAGAAGTTGGAGGCAAGTTTCCAAGAACACTGGAAACGTTTTACTCGTTGCTGTGTGTTTAGTTGGCCGTTGAGTCTATTGTGCTTTGATTTCCAGAGTAAGTTGTGCCAGTGTCCCATATTATTGTCATTGCATGTGTTGCCAAACTTATGTTAAAGAACCCTTACTCGCCGAAAATTGAATTCCCTGGCAAGGTGGCCATGAAGGAGCGCCGCAGCTGTGTCTTCACGAAAGATGATTTTTTGAGTCATGCATCTCAAGTGGATTTTCAGCAGTCATGTCTTGCCTGATAAAATCAGCCGGCGTGCTGTAACAGCGCGGGTCAGCCTCAGGATCACACATCGATTGACGTGTCATGATCAACAGGTTAACAGTCAGGGATGGTCATCCAACTGGATCCTTCATACTCATCATTCATACTGATTCAATTATCGAGGGACAAATTCATGCATAGGCCAAATACTTTGACCTGGCGATGTGTGTGTGGCTGTGGGGTTGTTTCTGAAGCCTGGGCAAATTACTGCCGTCAGGAATCAGACTTAGGGGAATTTCATTCTGAGCCGGCGTCCGCCGTTGGCACAAAACACAGCTGGGCCTGCCACGTTTTAGTCAGTCCGCTGTGTCTGTGTTAAGCAAGACTGCTCCCTTTACCCACTGCCAAAGACAACCAACGATTCCCACAGTCAGAGTCAGAGTCAGTCAGCTCTTTTGCCCGCCAGGCTTACCATCATCATCATGCGCTTCTACAGGCAGCGGCGGGGACGCTTGGTTGACCAGACCTCGTCAGAGCACTTTGAACCTCATGTTGACAGGGATTTGATCTGTATGTGTCAATCATCGTTTAAAGTTGTAGCTCGGGCCGGGCCCGCAAATCCAGCGTTGGTATTATTGGCAATGTAGGCCCGAAATGCAAGCAAAAGCTGGTTTTGGGGCTGAAAAGGGAGATTGCAGTCAGAGGGCTTGAAGTTGACCTGGCCAGTTGAGAGAGTCGCGAGCGCTTGTGACTCAGCAGCAGTTGTTATTGTTGATGGCCGCTCAACAAATGCTTACAGTCTTTAATAACTTGGGGCCAGTATTAAATCTTGGCGGTTGTAATTTGTGAGCACTTTCAAAAAGCTTGTTTGTTGCCCGCCCTCTCGACAGTAGGCTATGGGCTCTCAACAGTCGTGAGCGCTTGTGAATGGGCTCTCAACAGTCGTGAGCGCTTGTGAGTCCAGGAGCGGGGTCTCTCAACAGTCGTGAGCGCTTGTGAATTGGCTCTCAACTGTCGTCAACAGTCGCGAAATTGTCAATTTTCAATGGGCGACTCAACAGTCGTGAGCGCTTGTGAGTCCAGGAGCAGGGTCTCTCAACAGTCGTGAGCGCTTGTGAATTGGCTCTCAACTGCCGTCAACAGTCGCTCTCAACAGTCGTGAGCGCTTGTGAGTCCAGGCAGGCAGGGTCTCTCAACAGTCGTGAGCGCTTGTGAATTGGCTCTCAGCTGTCGTCAACTGTCGCGAAATTGTCAATTTTCACTGGGCTCTCAACAGTCGTGAGCGCTTGTGAGTCCAGTGACGGGGTCTCTCAACAGTCGTGAGCGCTTGTGAATTGGCTCTCAACTGTCATGAACTTGTGAGTGGGCTCGCTGCGAGCTAACTCTCAAAACTTCAAAACTCGTGAGCGCTCAAGCTGTTGCTCAAGCTGTTGCTCAAGCTGTTGAGAGGGGTGGGTAAATTTTACCCACCCATCTCAGAGGTCGTGAGCGCTTGTGAGTGTTGAGAGCTCTCATATTTTAATAGCGCTTGTGAGATTTGGATAGCTGCCAAAATTACTCGAGAAATTTTGCCCGGGCTGTTGAGAGGGGTGGGTCAATTTAACCCACTCCTCTCATTAGGGGGGAGCGCTTGTGACTGCTGAGAACCCACCCCCCCCCTTACGAGCACAAACGCGTGTGCGCCCCATAACGGAAGGCTGCCTTCAGGGCCGCGCAAGTTGAGGGGTGGGTTCTCAGCAGTCACAAGCGCTCCCCCCTAATGAGTGGGTTAAATTGACCCACCCCTCTCAACAGCCCGGGCAAAATTTCTCTAGTAATTTTGGCAGCTATCCAAATCTCACAAGCGCTATTATATGAGAGCTCTCAACACTCACAAGCGCTCACGACCTCTGAGAGGGGTGGGTAAAATTTACCCACCCCTCTCAACAGCTTGAGCGATCACAAGTTTTGAAGTTTTGAGAGTTAGCTCGCAGCGAGCCCACTCACAAGTTCATGACTGACAGTTGAGAGCCAATTCACAAGCGCTCACGACTGTTGAGAGACCCCGTCACTGGACTCACAAGCGCTCACGACTGTTGAGAGCCCAGTGAAAATTGACAATTTCGCGACAGTTGACGACAGTTGAGAGCCAATTCACAAGCGCTCACGACTGTTGAGAGACCCTGCTCCTGGACTCACAAGCGCTCACGACTGTTGAGAGCGACTGTTGACGGCAGTTGAGAGCCAATTCACAAGCGCTCACGACTGTTGAGAGACCCTGCTCCTGGACTCACAAGCGCTCACGACTGTTGAGAGCCCATTGAAAATTGACAATTTCGCGACTGTTGACGACAGTTGAGAGCCAATTCACAAGCGCTCACGACTGTTGAGAGACCCCGCTCCTGGACTCACAAGCGCTCACGACTGTTGAGAGCCCATTGACAATTTCGCGACTGTTGACGACAGTTACTGCTACAACTTGGTGAGAGCCAATTCATTTCACGACTGTTGACGAGAGAGCCAATTCACAAGCGCTCACGACTGTTGAGAGCCCGTTGACAATTTCGCGACTGACGAAGTTGAGAGCCAATTCATTTCACGACTGTTGACAAGAGAGCCAATTCACAAGCGCTCACGACTGTTGAGAGACCCCACTCCTGGACTCAAAAGCGCTCACGACAGTTGATGAGAGTGCCCTGCCACAACTGTCAAGCAACGAGTGCTCCTCGCGAAGCCTGCGCTTACAATGTTTATCCAAGTCGCCGCACGGACTGCTTATCAACTTGAGAGAAGTCTTGTAGTGATTCTGTTGTTTACTTGACTGACGTTGGCTAAACACTGCTTTTGAAAGTCATTGGGTGGCCTGAATCTTTCTTGACTGACGCAACTGGCCGATTGCGATATTTAGCTGTTTTTTGGTTGTTACTCATACTTAAAACTGGTGTTTGAATGCCGGCCCGTCAGGTTGAGACTCATCGCATCTGAGCTTCCAGTGCGTCCAGGACCTGCAGTAGTGTCAGTGATGCAGACAGAGCGAGAGAGAGAGATCAGTGAGGAAAACATGTTGAGTGGATGTTGAGCTTTCACATCCGAAACTGAACTTGTTTTTGCCATGTAAACTGTCTGTACGCGCTTTCGATTTGAGTGCTTGCAATGACGATTGAGCCTCTCAATGTTTGTCGCGCTCGGTTGAAGAAACTGATGTTGAAGTGTTGCCAGCTTGACCAACAAGGTTTTTTTTATGGTGAGCCATAATTTGTGGTTTTCGTGGAGAGGCGAGAGGAGTCGCAAACAAGAATCAAGAAGGAACAATTCGCTTCATCAGGCGGCTCGAGCTGTGTGATGATCATACATGACAAGACTTGGACAGGGGTTATACATTATTATTCTGAATCGAGCCTTGCGAACATGCCGCGCCGCCGCGGGGTGAAGCGGCGAAACGTGTGCATGGATCAGTGCGAGCTGTCCGAAGGCCTGACTTGCAGAAACGATCCAGCGCCGGCTGAAGCCAGCGACGCGCCTTGGTGTGAGTTCAGTATTCCTTTCAACACAGCTGAGTTAATTTACATCCTGTGACACCAAACAATAACATGTGAGTCATTGGCCAAGTCAATGCAGGGGCTCACAAACGCTGAAACGATGTGACACAAGGTCATTCGAGTGGCTTCTGATTTTTCTGGTCTTGGCAGTTTCGAGCTGGCGGCCAAGCGGGTTGCGCAGGTTTTGGGCTGCAGAGCGGAGGTGATGTTTTCGAGCGACTCGGACAAGCACTGTCAGGCCATGCTTCTGCACAACCACTGCCCATTCAAATTCTATCCGGATGTTGCGTCACGCAATCACCAGAATGCCTTTGAGTGCGAATGGTATGGCGCAGGCTTTCCTTGCCAGCCGTTTTCAACGGCTGGGCTGGGCATGGGAGTTCATGACATGAAGGAGCGTGGGCTGCTACTTGCGCACTCACTGTCATATGTGGTTTCAAAGAGGCCAAAACTTGTGGTGTACGAAAACGTTCCTGGCCTACTTCGCAAGCGGCATCAAGCCTTGATGGCTTGGCTGCTCCTAACTTTGGAGGAGGCTGAGTACAGGTGGTGGTACACTGTGTTGAACACAAACAGCTTCGCGACACCACACAACAGGCGACGTTTGTACATAGTCGGGATACAAACTCGACACCTGAGGCGGGCATTTACATGGCCAACTCCTCTTCCCCGCGCGCCTGCCATTGACGAGTTTCTTGAGCCCAATGTCACAGGTAAACCTCGCCGAAGCTTGACGGTTTTTTTTTTATTGGGAGGATTCATTGATGTGCTATTCAATAATTCCAAGCCACAGTCATTCTGCCATCAGCTAGATTGTCTGTGTGTGCGACAGCGAAGCTTTGTCAGGATGGCAGCATCCTCCTGCCACTGCTCCTGAGAGGGCACGACTTTTGGCAAGCCATGCGCTTGAGAAGATCCAGGAGAAGCTCATTGACCCCGACCAGTCGTGCTGGACCATTGACTGCTGTTCCACGGTGAAGTTTCTTTCCTACCGGAGGGACGAACTGATGTGCGTGTTACACGGTCGCTCTTCTCGTCAGAGCTACTGGTGCAGCTCTTTGGGCCGCTTTCTGACCACTGCAGACCGAATGAAACTACAGGGGTACACATGCAAGAAGCAGCCTGTGCCAGACAGCGCCATGAATAAGATGCTAGGAAACGGCATGAGTGTAAATATTTTAGAGAGGGTTTTGCTGCAAGCTGCTTGGGCCATGGGGGTTGGCCATTAAATCAGTTTGGCGATGACGCTAGAGGCTCATCCAGCTGCAGCTGGTCGCACCCATGAAGACTCAGAAACTGTTACAGTGTTTGCTGATTTGTTGTTCAGTCAGCCAGCTGGAGAGCAACCGTGAGTGTGGAAAAGTTCGCGAGTGTCAGTCAGTTTCTTTATATTATACACACGTTGACTGTCGTTTGTGGAGTTCAATAGAAGCTTCCCTGCGGCCCGCGTTTGACGCGCAAGGACATCATTGACGTGGTGAATGACATGAGCCTGGCGCTTGGTGCGCTCGCAAACCATATTGTGCCGTTAGCCTTTGTGTTTGACGCAGGACTCATGTCATGACATTGAATCATCGGAATCATGTTGAGTCACATGCTGATTGGGCCTCATCTCAGTCTCATTGAGCATTGAGTCACATGCTGATTCGGCGTCATTGTCATGGAGCATGTTGAGTCACATGCTGATTATCGGGCCTCAATGTCCTGACGTTGCAGCATGTTGAGTCAGATCCTGATTGTTGCCACTGCGTCGTGACCGGTTGCTGAATGCATTTGAAAGTTTTGAGAGGCTCTGGCAGCCCACCCGGCCCGGCACCTGCGGCATTTTGCACAGCAATGGCACCCAAGAAGGCGGCAAAGGTGAAGGCGAAGTCGAAGGCGGCGGCAGCGCAATCGGCTGCGGATGGTGATGACATCATGGCCGCCCCGGATGTGAATCACCAGTGCAACGTGGACTACCTTGCCAAGGTGCAGGATGCATGGGCCACGATCAACGGCCACCCGCTGTTTGAGAACCTCTCCTGCCGGGATCCCCTCCAGATCGAGGCATTCGGGAGCCAAACTTTCAATTTTTGCGCATTTATTTTTGATTTCTTGTCGTTGGGGCAATCTCGCGTGGCTGAAGATAACGTACAGTACGTCACCTGGTGTCCCATACAATGAGAGGGCTGTGCAGAAGCTGAAGGACTTCTACTTCGGGGGGAAGGTGGCCCCTCTGAGGTACCCCGAGAACCTGATCATCGCCGTGAGCTCCGATCAGGTCAAGGAGGGGAACATGATGACCCAGCGAGGTGCGATGGAGTCTGTTTCGCCGCCGGAGCTGCCCCTCAATTCAATTACCCGAATTCGGCTTGTGTATTTAAATTGTGTGTGTGTGTGTGTGATTTTTGCACATCATCAGTCAGAAGAACCAGACGAGGTTTTTAATACTGCTCTGGTGATGAACTTGACGACTTGTCTGTCTGAAATTCTGAGGCTCCATGCCTTCATCCTGTGCGTGGCTGAGCTGATCGATGCGAAGGTGTCTGATTCGGCGCTCGAGTCATGGCTGCGGGTCATCTTGACGACGATGTGCGTCTTCGAGATGCTGGAGACAGCTGATGCCCGGTCGGCTCGGTCGGACACCTTGCGGGAGGTAGCCGTGACCAACTTCAACGGCATCGCCTGGACCGTCATCCAGAAGGTGTACCACCTGGGCCTGTTCAAGGCGCGCAAGGAGCGTGACATGGGCAGTCTGGCTGCAGAAAAGGTTGCGGCGCTTTACAATGAGGACAGGCAGATGACACAAACAGAATGTTATTTTGACTTTTGAATCAAATTTTCAAAGCAACTTTGATTCATCAGCGTGCAATGAAACTAAGCTGATTGACTAATCATTGGCGAGTGCAGCCCTTTGATTCATCAGCGTGCAATGAAACTAAGCTGATTGACTAATCATTGACGAGTGCAGCCCTGGCCCCAGGAGCGGTCCATGGCGGAGGATTCGGAGGCGGTCACAGACTCGTTTGTGGACCAGGCCATGACGGTTTGGAACCGGATGTTGAGCCACAAGGAGATCGCGGAGGTCGTCTTGAGCATGGACTTCGAGTTTCTCAGTTGTTCAAACCCGACCTTTTAATGATCATTTTTGGTTTTGCTTTTAAATGGGCCTCAATGGGCGAACCTTTTATTTCGGAATTCTTTGGGCCGTGAGGTTTGGGCATGATGCCCCCCTGGCTGGCATCGTCAACCTGCAGACCGTCATCAGCAAGACACGCACTCAGGAGCCGGGTATTGACACTCATTGACATATTGAATTGGGGGGTTGCGAGTGTTGAGGTAAGGTGAGGCGAGGGAGTCATTGTGACTGTGACACGACTGAGAGAGCGAGTGAGACCAGCTCAAGCCGTTTTTTTTGACCATTACAGTCATCAGTCAGTCGGGCCGTTAAATTTAGGATTACGGACCAGCAACTGACGATGAATGAGAACACCCTACTAAGATTTGACATGAAACGAGTTAGCGCAATTGCTCGGAGGAGTGCCTCTTGTGGACCTTGCGGTGCATCCAGCAGTACTTCGCCTGCGGGTACTTGGTCAGGGGCGAAGCAACCACACGCGGATTGGCTGGCCACGGGAGCAATCCTGGCTGGGTTGCATTTCTGATGTACAAGCAGGAGCTGCTGGATTACTTGACCAGTGGCTTCATCGACGGGGTCATCGCCGACGCCGAGAAGAGGAAGGCGATCAGACAGGTGCTCAGCAACCACCAGACGCATCACACGCGTTCGGGTGGCCCAAGGAGCTTTTCACTGTCCAAACATCATGACCGTTACTGTTTTACATGAGTGTTGATGTTTGGTCAAAACAATTTGTTCAAAATAGGTGTTTGCATTTTATGAAGTTCAAGTGGAGCTTTGCCAACTGAAGGACAAAGAACAGCCAGACCTGACGTGGCACTCCAGTTGGCTGGAGTCAGAGCGCTCTGCGCTCTTGCTGGCTGAGGCTACTGCGCTTCTGAAACAACATGTCGTTGCCTTGCCAACACATCATCAGAATCAGATCAAGCGTTTTCACGGTGTTTGCACACTTTCGGCTTGCGTGGTCTGAATCGTAAATTTGCAGGCTTGCGTCTACACCAACGCCCATGACCATGTCCTGAAGCAGGCGCTGAAGAACCGCAAGACGCCGGCTGAGGCGCTAGCCTACGGTGGCCTTGAGGAGCTGGTGAAGGACGCGTTGAGTTCGCGGATATTTTGTGTCCATCAGACTTTGCTTATTTCCCAGACAGCGCAATAATATAATAATCCCACCAATCAACGTATTTGGTTAGTGGTTTATGTGTATGTAATTTTGATATGCGCTGCTTTGGTCAGGAGATCACCAAGCACGCTGACAAGGAGAAGGAGGCTTCCGGCCAAGTCGTTCTGCCAGGCACCGCTCCAGCCCCATCCAGCGATGCAACAGAAGTTCCTGAGCACATCCTGGCAACGTGCCTGGAGGAGCGACATGACGTGAGTTGAAGAGAGTTGGAGAACCGTGTTTTGAAGGCGCCTGTTTTAACTGTGCGTGGATCTTGAAGTCTAACGGCAATACTAAAATACTGTTCAACGATTTGCCAGGACCTGGAAACCGCCGAGGAGAAGATCTTGAAGTACAAGGCCATGGCAATGAACCTCGTCAAGCAACGGGTCAAGTTGCTGGTGGAGCCCTCGTCCGAGAATGCCTTTGCCACGATGATCGCAGATGCGGAAGCTTGGTCAACAATTAGACAAGTTTTACTTTTTGGCCTGAACTTGGCAACAGTGATGAACAGAAAAATCATTTAATTCCTTGGTCCTCAGGGTGAAACGCTGACCAAGGAAATCGGAAAAGTCAGAGGTTCAGAATCACGCCGTGTGATCGCCATCTACGACAACAAACGATGTGGGGAGGCGATGACGGCGCCGCATCTCAGAGTGCCGCCGTTTAGAAAAGAGCACGCGCAGAAGGTCGTCCGGGCATTCATTCAGTGCAGGGGGTCCGCCGAGCTCCATGACGGGGACCTGATGTTTTTCTTTGATGCTGGCCGCCATGGTGCCTTGTCTGTGTTTTTACATCAACACACGCTTGACCATCAACACGGCCTCAAATGTTTGTTCAGTCATTTAACTTAGATCCTTTGCTGCTGATCTGATCGTCCGACGCAAATCCTTGCCAAATCCAATGTGTGGATTCAGGAATTTTTGCGATTGTTAAAAAGTTTTGATTGTTGGCAGGCAGTGAGATGTAACTCTTTGATGAACATTGTTACTACGGAGAGTTTGCAGGCAATGACCGGGCGTTCTCGGGGCTGTTTGCCACGGAAGATAACAAGCGCATCGCCCACGAGAAGAGGGTCTTCTTCCTCTCCTCCTCAGAGGAGTCCATGCGATTGCGTCGCACGCTGGTACGTGGCCTGGGCAGCCTGCATCAGGCCAGGCTTATGGGCCAAAAGCACGACGATACAGATGCCGGCGAGCGAATTTTGTAAATTGCACTTAAAGTCTTCAATGTTGAACAGTTCATCGTACGAGCACGTTGTGTCTGACTGAGTCACAGGTGGAGATGCTGCATGTCTTCAGCCGCTCCACGTTGGACATGCCTGAGGTGAAGCATCCGATCTACCCAGGCAGCAGCTCTGGTGATTTGATTGGCCCAATCAATCTCGAGCGCTTCCAGGACCGCAGCTGGCAGGTTACTGAGGAGGAGAAGCGCAAGATGCTCGGGGGCTTCAGGATCGCGGTGGGTGGGCTCTCAGGGGATGCGTCGGAGAGCACGAAGCGCACGCAGTTCAAGAGGAGTGAGCTGAAGCGGAAACCTGCTGGCACTGCCGACGACAACGTGCTGTACGAGCCCTTCTGCTACCACGGCCTGCCCCCTGAGTATTACGTGGACTCATTGCCTGACTTAGTTGACTTAAACTTCGGTGCCTTAATTTTGTGCCTTTTTGAGTTCCTGCGTTTTCCTTTCAGTCTGCCAAAAAGTTATTTTAGCAGAGGATTTAAGTCTGGTCAAGGACATGTTGGCTGTTTGGAGCCCGCGAGCTATCATTGATTTCACCGCCTCGGATATGACTGCTGCCTTCGTGTGCCTTGAGGCGAGAGTCCCTTATCTGGGGATCACCTTCACCGAGCAGCACATGCTACATTGCCAGACTTAGCAGGACTTAAATCTCAAATTTGCTTTTTTTTGGGTTTCCTATTGTTTAATTTGTTGCTTTTTTTCTCAAGACGGAGTGTTAATTTGGTCAAGGCTACAGGGATACAAACACCTGGCCGACCTGGTGTTCGAGGCGATGTGCAAGGAGTCTTCGCCCCTGCATGACCCAAAGCTCAGTGCCCTGCTGAAGCCCAAGACGGACCCCCAGACCAAGAAGCGCCCCCGCGCCAAAAAGGCTCCTGCGCCGGCCGACGGCGAGGACGACGATGAGCATGGTCCTGGTGGTGACTCCGGTTCAGACGATGCTGGCGGGGAGCCAGAGGTGGCTGGGCGAGGGCGGCAAGGGCGGCAATGGCAATGGCGGCCCGGAAGCGAAGCCGAAGCCGAAGAAAAGGTCACGGAGGCAGACGGGTGGCACTGGCGCTGGCGGTTCTGGCGGTTCTGGCGCTGGCGGCTCTGGCGGCAATGGCATCATGAACCTGATGGACCAGCTGAAGGCGCTGCGCCAGACCTAGGCTGGAATAATCATTCATCGCGGCAATGGGCCGCTTAGGACTTTAGATTTCAGATGTTTGCGTGTTTGGCACAGAGCCTTCTAATCTGCAAGAATCAGACTGTCGAAGAACAGAGTTGACAAGTTACTTGCATGGAACGTGTGTAATTGAAATGCATAATAAGAGATAGTTGGCCATGTGCTAGACTTAGGGTGACCGGTGACGGTGTGCCAGACCTGAATGATCTAGGTTGCAAATCTCCAGGAGGCTGATTGCAAAGTTTGACTCTGCGAAAACCCGCCGAAGACGACGGCGTGTGACATTCTACGATTCGAAGAAAGGCTGCTCTTGGACTGTCAATGTAATTCAATCCGATTCTGTTCGTTTCGAAGCACTGCCTCGTTTGCTTTCAATAGCGCTTGGATGCCCCACAGCCAAAGTTGCTGTGGCCAAGTCATGGGTTTCCAAGACTTGGGCATTAAAAATACTCTGGGCGGTTGGCGTTTGCTTAGGTGATTCTGATCTCTGATGCGCCCGGAGGCCCAAGCCCAAGCTCAGGACTGTGCTTGCCATTGCCATTGAGTCCTGGTCCTGGTTGTAACTTTAACGGCAGTCTAGGTTGAAAGTGGTGTTTGGATGCCCCACAGCACTGGATTGCCCAGGCTGTGGCCAAGTCATGGATTTCCAAGACTTGGACATTCAATTAGAACTCTGAGCGGTTGCCGCCTGCCCAGGTGATCTCTGATGATGCCCGGAGGCCCAAAAGCCAAGACTGTGCTTGCCATTCAGTCTGGTCCTGGTTGTAACTTCAACAGTAGTTGAAAGTGATGTTTGGATGCCCCACAGCCTGGATTGCCCAGGCTGTGGCCAAGTCATAGATTTCCAAGACTTGGGCATTAGAATTGCCGCCTGCCCAGACAGATGATCTCTGATTTGCCTGGAAGCCCAAATGCCCAAGCGCAGAGTCTAACTTTGACAGAAGTCTAGGTGTTTGGATACCCCACTGCCACAGCCTGGGTGCTGTGGCCAAGTCATGGATTTCCAAGACTTGGATAGTAGAATCTTGCGAGCGGTTGCCGCCTGCCCAGGTGATCTCTGCCCGGAGGCTCAATCCCAAGCTCTGTCAGACTGCGCTTGTCAAGACATGACAAAGCTGAAGATTGGGCTCATCATCTGACAAGGGACTTGGCGACACTCGTATTTGCTGTTTCACGTCAGTGCCAGGCCATTCCGTGACGCTGCTGAGGCCAGACTCGCTTATTATCCAACACCTTAGGCTCCTCAGAGGCTGCCTGTGAGAGTCGGAATGACGGTCACAACCGCTGAACATAGTTTATGGCTTGCAAGCTGCACATGAATCAAGTTGCTGCTGTATTAATTGTTCAAGAAAGCCCGCTGCGGTCTGACTGTGTGATTGCCACTTGAATCTGAAGGAAGCTCAGCCCGTGACTCATTGATGGATGACGGGAAGCCAACCGCCACGGTCACTGTCGCCTTTGACAGCGGCAGCGTCGAGTCGCTCGTGCATGAGCAGCTCTCGCGCTTTCACATGGCGATGTGCCTGAAGATGGGGGTCAAGGAGGGCGATCCCCTGTGGGAGCCGCTCCCAGTTGGTTAATTTGGCTTTATTTCACTCTTTTTCTGCTGAAGGCTGTGTGTGTGTCACCTTTGCTGCTGCATTTGCTGTTCAGGAACGATCGCAACACAGCTGAGCTTTCAAAGTGTGTGAAGTTTCCCGAGCCTTACCTCGCGCAGCTCGCCTGGCTACAGCATTGTGTCAGCAAATTTAATCAACCCTACTTGACTCGAGCCAAGGATGGATGGTGGACGGAAGCTCTCCATTGATACCATGAACTCCCATCCGATCATGCGGAAGCTTGATCGGATAGCGTGTGGCAATGCTTGTTGTGAACAGTCCGCTGCGTGTTTCTGTTGCAGCCGCCCATTGTTTCCAAGGGACATCGTCATGCGTCTCTGGAATGAACGCGTCAAGCTTGAGTGTGACATCCTCAAGGAGAGGTTCCCTGGCGGCTCTGACGAGTTTTTGATCCAGAAGTTGAATGAGGAGAGCAAGCATTTGTTGATGAATGTGCGTAATTTGCGATGTTTTGCGCTCACAGAGTCTCAGCGGCTAGCAGGACTGTGTGTTGCCGCCGATGGTCGTACCGCTGGAGGGCATCATGTGGCTTGCCTTGCCCAGCTGCAACGGGAATGAGGAGCGCCCGTTGTTCAGCCTGAGCGCCTTGACTGCATTGACCTTCAACTTGGCAGTGCTTCTGTTCTTGTTCAAAGTTGAAACGCCCTTGACATTGAAGCCAGTCATGTCCATGTGCAATTCAAATTCTTGGAGGTGGAGGCAAGCTGATCGTAGTTCTGAGCGGTTTCTTCTTCACAAAGATGTGATAGGCTGAGGGCAGTAGTACTCAGTGGCCGAAAACATCGGACCGTCCTTTGCCCTGCAAGCAAGTGCTCGGCAAACAGCAGCAGATTGAGTTTCCCCGCAGTCAACAATGCTTGCAGGCGTTGGACCCTGGACGAGACCTACTGTGACAGGCGCTTCCGTTATTTTTCACGTTTGTGCGGCTTGCGTGTCAACCTTTGTGCGGTGAGCTTGGCAATTCTCAAAAACACGTGTGTTTTTCTCGATATTTTCGCTAATTCTAGCGAAGTAACGTTTAGGGCTAAAAAATTACTTCGCTAGAATTCTGTTCATAAAACGGGGGTGGGGGGGGTGGGGGGGGTGGGGGGGTTCGGAAGCGTCAACAATGTCACAAACACTTGCATTCATTAAACGGGGTGCTTACTAAATTGGGGGGTTCGACGCCAACAATGTCACAAACACTTGATTCAGCCCTGACGGATCCCAGTGCGCCATTTCAAGGGATTTCAGGGCAGTAGGGCCAGGATCCATTGCATCCAACTGAATATGAACTTTTCGATTGGTTCTTTGTTTGTATTTTTGCTTGTTTGTTTAAGCTTGTCTGCGGCTTTTGTCGTCGCAGGTCGCTCCTTAGTTTGTCGGCTTATTAATGCCGTTGTTGCTTTTCCAAACCCAGCAGTGTTTGTTTCGCGCGTTCATGGCAGCAAGATGGGAACGAAGAATCAGAATCCAGTCCATAATTATCATAGTAGGGTTGACATCACTGCTAGTCTTCAATCACTGCTAGTCTTCAATCAACAAGTCAGCCCCCCAATAATAATTTAATGCTGTGTTTAAGTTTGCTCTCCCTTGTCACCCCGCCTTCATGCGCCCAGCAGCGGCCGGTCAGGCCAGCAGCTGCCCGCCCGGTGAACCTGCCGAGTGAGCCGAAGCAGGCGAGCCAGTTCCGTGTGCAGGTTTGGGTCGGTTTGGGAGCAGGACAGTTTAACAAGTCCATCAAAGCTGTGTAGGTAGATGAATTCCACAGCCTGTAGGCCTGGGAAATTGGACCCCGTGCCTCTGTCACGGCACCTGAGCCGACCAGGTTATTATTGCGAACGAACAAGCCAACAAACAAACAGGGACTGAGGGCATGCAATCCGAGATATCATTCAGTGAACGTTGCTACACTTCGTCTTCATGTAGATACTAGGAATGAAGCTGTCACAGACATGTTATTACTTGCAGGCTTTGTGTGGAAACACATTGCCCAGCAAAGCAGTTCGCGCACGCAAACTTGACTCCCCTTCCAATTCGCAGTGAACCGACATGGCATGGCGCCGCTTGCCATAACCTTAAACACTGACTCAACCCGGGGTTGGGTATATATTTTCTTCTGCGTTCATTAGTTTTGGCTCGAACTTGGTTTGAAAGGGCGACTTTTAGCGCCATCGTCGTGCTGATGGCTGACGGCCAGCCATCCACCAATGCCGCTGTGAAGAGGGGGAAAGTCATTTTGCTTACCAAGCAGAGCCTCGAGTACAAGGTGTACAAGTTAGTTCTCAACGCTGGCAGTGGCACCGGGGGCAGCGGCCCAAGCACACCGCGGGCAGACTCGGGCTCTAAGAGGTTCTTCGAAAAACACATGTATGAGTGGAAGCAAGCCATCCGCAGGGCCAACTCCGATGACAACAATGTGCACGAGCAAGGTCACAATGCCCAATTCAATGTGGCCGAGCCGAGCCAGAGACAGGCAACGTAGTCTTACTTCAATTTAGCCAGACAAGGTTTGGCCCAATGTTTCGGATGTGTGATTTCACACATCCCTCGCAAGCCAGCCAACCTTTCTTTAATTTAGCCAGACAACGTTTGCGCCACACAAGTTTTGGATGTGTAATTTAATTCATTTATTTGTCAACAGAAAGTGTGTTCAGAAAGTTCCCTACTTCTGCATTTTAAATTCAATGCAAGACAGGTCGCAGCTGCTGGATGAGGGAAAAAGGAAAGGGCCGCCTGGTTGTTGACGCAAGGGTTTGTGTGCCTTGCGACTTTCAAAAAGCCATGCCTGCTTTTGAAGCAGCTGGCTGGCAGGATGGACGAGTAGCCCGAGCACCTTGCGTGCACCGTGCGCTGCGCCTTTGTTAAAACCCTCTAGGCCCCGTGCCGAAATTGGGTAGCTGTTCTGAGGTCCTTGTTGGTGTTGCTTCCCAAGTTCCATTGATCGCCATTTGGCTCAAGACACACAAATTGAGTTCAAGATTCGATGTGTGACATGCGACATTCGTGACGGGCGATTGAGCAAAACAATCTGCTGCGCTGCATGTTCAGGACTACTGGTGTAACTATCATTCCTTCTTCCCTTACAACGTTTACACGGGTTCGGCTATAACGGCATCGTCCGTATACACCTTTCTACGTGGTTGGTATTACAGCTTGAGGGTTCGGTGCATAGCGTCCCACGGGACGTCACCTTGCCGTCTCTTGACAGGTTATCAGCCGTAACTACAAGCTCTACACTGGACTGGGAGACAGCTGGTTTATTGCGGGTACAGGGACAATAAAGGAACGATAACATACACAGTACAATGGCGTCTTCGGCGAGCCCAAGTACTGCAACTTTTGGGAACAGCAGCTCAGAGGGATCCAATGGATTGATGGCTCT